GACTTATCGGACTCTCTCAATCTAAGCTTGGAGGGGAGGCAGCTCGAGGGGCGCCAGAGACATACAGGGAAGAACTGAGCTGTTTGGCATTGGAGAGGGGGCTTTCTCTGGGACAGATGTGCTGTCAGAGGCCTTTGTTCCTTTGGTGAGCCCTTCCCTGGGGCGGCAGACAGCCCCCATATCTGGGACTCCAGCAACCTGGCTCACACTGGTTGCCCCACCCTGGTGACTCCCTGAGGCCCCGCCCCACCCAACTTTCAGGCCCACCCAAGCTGTTGCCAGTTGCTTACCCATAGGATTGGCCTGTCTTGGATCCTGCTTCAGGTTTTCCTAAATTCTTTCAAACAAGCAGCATCTGGTCTCAGCGAGCCCCATACCTCTCGTTAAGTAATACACAGAAACAAACGCAGGGAGGCAGCCAAAATGAGGAGACAAAGAAACAGGTCCCAAATGAAAGAACAGAACCATACTCCAGGAAAAGAACTAACTGAAATGGAGATAAACAACCTAACAGATGCTGAGTTCAAAATACTGCTTATAAGGATGCTCAATGAACTCAGTGAGAACCTCAGCGAACTTAGTCAGGGCCTCAAGAGCATAAAAAAGGATCAGTCAGAAATGATGGATGCACAGTCAGAAATGAAGGGGGCACTAACTGAAATAAAGAATAATTTACACAGATTCAATAGTAGAGTAGGTAAAGCCAAGAAGCAAACCATCGATTTGGAATATAAGGAAGCAAAAAACACCCAATCAGAACAGCAAAAAGAAAAAAGAATCCAAAAAAATGAGGAGAGTGTAAGGAGCCTCTGGGACAACTTCAAGCGTGCCAACATTCGCATCTTGGGGTGCCAGAAGGAGAAGAGCGAGAACAAGAAATTGAAAACCTGTTTGAAACAATAATGACAGAAAACTTCCCTAACTTGGTAAAAGAAACAGACATACAAGTCCAGGAAGCACAGAGAGTCCCAAACAAGATGAACCCCAAAAGGCCCACACCAAGACACATCATCATCAAAATGCAAAAGGTTCAAGACAAAGAGAGAATCTTAAAAGCAGCAAGAGAAATGCAGTTACCTACAAGGGAGTTCCCATAAAACTGTCAGCTGATTTCTCAAAAGAAACTTTGCAGGCCAGAAGGGAGTGGCAAGAAATATTCAGAGTGATGAAAAGCAAGAACCTACAACCAAGATGACTCTATCCTGCAAAGCTGTCATTTAGAATTGATGGCCATATACAGAGTTTCCCAGACAAGGAAAAGCTAAAGGAGTTCATCACCACCAAACCATTATTATATGAAATGTTAAAGGGTCTTTTTGAAGAAAAAGATAAAATATATGAACAACAAAATGACAATGAATACATATCTATCGACAATTGAATCTACAAACAAAATGAACAGGCAGAACAGAAACATTCTCATAGATAAAGAGAACATTTTGTTGGTTGCCAGATGGGAGGGGGGTTGGGGGAATGGGTGAAAAAGGTGAAGGGATTAAGAAGTACAAATTGGTTGCTAGACTGACAAACCTCAAAGGGAAAGGGGTTGGGGGGTGGGAAGAAATAAACCAAAGAACTTATATGCATAACCAATGGACAGAGACAACAGTGTGGGAAAAGGCAGGAGGGGGCAGGAGTGGGGAGGAGGGAGTGGGTTGATGGGGGAAGAATGAGGAACATCTGTAATACATTCAACAATAAAGATAAAATAAAAATAAAATCCTTCAGAGGGCTCAAAAAAAAAAATGTGTATTTTTCTTCATGAAAATAAAAGGAAGTACTGGCTCTCGTCTCTCAGTACATTGTAAAATAATTTTGTCATGTTGCCCGATTTCTTTACCCCTCCCACTGTCCCAGTCTGGCACAGGCCTGTCACCCAGGCTACTGGGCCAAGGTCCACAGAGGTCACGGGGAAAGAGAGAGAACAGCTGGTCTCTTCTTAATGCTGCAGCATTGTTCTAAATTCTTTGTTATTCCAGCTACTTGGCCCCCAAGCCCTGGGGTCATCCCTGACTCCTCCTCTCTCACATCCCACCTCAAACCCTCAGCGATTCCCTTAGTTCTGCCTTCTGACTACCTATCTAGAATCTGGCCACCTCTGACTCCTCCATTGCCCTCTGCCATTCCTCTCCAGCCCCACTGGTCTCCTGGCCCATCCTCAACCATGCCGAGGACACATGTATCTCAGGGCCTTTGCACAGGCGTGTCTGGGACTCCTCCAGAAACCTGCATGGCTCACATCCATCCACGTCTCACCCCCTCCGTCTCCATTCATCACGGGGAGGCCTGTTTTAAATGACCCCTCCCCACAGAGTTCCGAGGCTCTTCATTTTGCTCTAGCCTCTTACCAGGGCCTTTCTCCTCGGATGTTCAGTGTAATGCACTGATGTTTGTTGCTTGCGTCTCTTTTTCTCCTGCGGGAATGCAGGCTCCTGGGGCAGGGATTTCTTTGTGAATTGTTCCCTGCTGTGACCCCAGCTCCTCGCCAAGTACCTGGGCCTCAGTAACTGCTTGTTGCCTCAGGGATTAGTGTGAGAGAGGACGAGAGAGCCACCTTTTCTCTCCAGGGACAAGTGTGGCCACAGAACTGTCTTTTTGTGGGTGTTTGTTCTTCTAGAGCAGAAAATTGTCTTAGCTATAGGCACCGTGCCATGCATTACCTCCCAGGACTTATTCATCTTATAACGGAAAGGGTTTTTTTTTCTTTATTAATTTTAGAGGAAGAGAGAGAGAGATAAAAACATTGAGAACATCGATGGGCCGCCTCCTGCATGCCCCCAACTAGGGATTTGGCCCACAACCTGGGCATGTGCCCTGATCAGGAATCGAACTAGCGACCTCTTGGTGCATGGGCCAATGCTCAACCACTGAGCCGCACCGGCCGAGCAGTATAACTGAAAGTTTCTACCTTTTCACTGTCATCAACCAAATCACTGACCCTCTACCCCCTGCCTTTGGCAACCACCAGTTTGTTCTGTGTATCTATGGGGTTTGTGTGTGTGTTTCTAAGATTCCACATATAAGTAAGAACATACAGCGTTTGTCTTTGACCTGTGGAAAGGCTACTGGACAGGAGTTGGGACCTTGGTCAAGGGTGCCAGCAACCCGCGTGACCCTTCAGGTAAGGAGCCAGGGGGAGAACTGCCCCACCCCATCTCCTCTCTCCCTCTAATCTAGTGATGCTCCCACGGGCTGAACCCAAGCGCTTTGAGGCTGTTCACGAAAGGCACCTTCCGTCACAGGGCAGGGTGGGGAAAGGGCAGGGTGAGTCTGCAGGGCCAAGGGACAGTGTCAGCGCGGCGCCTACATGAGTCAGTTATGACAAACACAGTTTAAACCCCTGATGGGGGTGTAAATAGATGTGTAACAAAAATGTCTTAAATGTTTAAGACTATATGAGTTTTTAGGTTTTGTTTTATATATATATGTGTGTGTGTGTGTATATGTATCTCACATATATGTGTGATCTCATATAAAGGAATTATTGTCGCCCTGGCTGGTTTGGCTCAGCGGTTAGAGCGTTGGCCTGTGGACCAGAGAGTCCCAGGTTCAGTTCCCGCTAAGGCCATGTACCTCGGTTGCAGTTTGTCCCTGGCCCCGGTTGGGGTCGTGAGGGTGGCAGCCACGGATGTGTCTCTCTCATGTCAATGTTTCTCTCTCTCTCTCTCTCCTCCTCTCTCCCTCTCGCTCTATCTGAAGATAAATGCAAGAATGTCCTTGGGTGAGGATTAAAATGAATAAAGGAATTATTGTCTAAATACCAGGGATTGTTGTCAGGCCCTACATTAATCATTAGGCTCTTTTTATGAAGAAGTGAAACTTTCAGATGTGAAAGAACTAAATGTCAGTTGGATTTTTTTCTATTCAAGCTAAGATCAAGTCTTGTTCAGATGTTCCCTGACCTGTTTAGCGCTCCTTGAATGGTTTTAGTGTCCAATCAGAACTGGAGGGTCTCCCCGCACACCCTCTCGTCCTAGGGGGGCAGGAGGGCGAGGGAGGTGGGCCGCCACATGGGGACCTTGGGAGTTAGGCCGGCTTGGGGGTGAGCACGGGAGCACTGCTAGAGATGGGGCGGGGGTGGAAGGTGCCCCCAAACTGATGGCACCGCTGGGTGCGGGGGCAGACGTGGCGGAAGAGCTGCTTTGGGCTTCTCAGGAACAGAAATAACAGATGCCCCTTTTCTTCAGTGTCTGTCACCTGCAACCCAGAGTCCTAACTAGCAGCCTCCCTTCCTCTCCCCCGCGCCCCCCGCTCTTCCCCGCCCCCCTCTCTCCCCCTCAGCTCCACTTTCCTCTACATGGAGCCCACTTTCCCGCTGCTCCCACGAGTCTCGGGCTTGGTGGCTTAGTTCTCCCCACTCCAAATGCAGTGGGAAGTCAGCTTCCCCTCCCTCCACGGCCAGCAAAGGGCCTGGAACTGGGCCTCCTTAGGAAGGCTTGCTTCGGTGGCCATCCCTAAAGGGTCAAGAGACTAGAATTGCAGGGGTCACGTTCTGCCCCTACACCTTCAGGGCAAGGGCTGCGGATGGGGGTTAACCCACGGAAATCTCGCGGGCCCTGCGGCCGCGCAAGGACTTGCACTGCTGCCTTGCGTGAAATGAGACGGGAGGTCGAAGTACATCAGGCCCCGCGCCCAGTGTGGAACCCAGGCAGCCCGGCCCCGTCCACGCTCTGCCAGGACACCATCTGGCCCCTCCACCTGGGGCTACGGGAATCCACCCTGAGAGTGATTCTGCAGGTCTCTGATAGTGTGCACTGCCCTGGGGCCGAGCCAAGATAAGCCTCCGGGGCCTGCCCATCAGGCACGGGCAGGGAAGGAACTGGGCCGCCTCCCCTGGCTCTCATCAGGCTTGGGGAAGGCGGGCACAGGTGGGGCTTGGGAAACCCTCAGGCCAAGCCCAGAAGCCCACACTCCTCAGTACAGCTGCCATCTACTGAGGACTGATGACTACACACCAGGCACCAGCGAGGTCTGCTGTACGCTCAGGCGGGCCTCGCCGCAGCCCGCGGGCGGGGTGGTGACACCCACCTTGCAGAAGAGGGAGGCGGCTCGCTGGCGAGCAGCTGGCCCCTTACACAGCCAGGATGTGGCGGTGGGGGGTGGAGGGAAGGACCTGGCCTGGCCGACTGCAGGCCACGCGCTGAAGTGCTGCCCCTCCATTTCCAGTGAACCTCTGGTCTCTTGTCAAACGCTGGCCGCCGTTCTCACCAGGCGACATTATTAGACATGCACAGGTAACAGCATCGATTTTGTTTCAGACTCTATACTGTCAACTCATTAAAATACTCTTCTAAAAGTTAATGCCAGACATGTACATCCAAACAAGGGTTATTATTCTTTAAAAAGAAATGAAAACACTTATTCACACAAAAACCTGACCATGAATATTCGTAACAGCTTTATTTTTTTTAATAGCCAAAGCCTGGAACAGACAGATGTCTGCAGCGGGCACAGGGGAATGCTCAGAAAGCAAAAGGATAAACTGCGGGCACGTTCAGTGACCCGGATCCATTTCAAGGGCTTCGTGATGTGTGAAAAAAGCCAGTCCCAGTGTCACACAGGCCCTGGCTGGTTTGGCTCAGCGGTTAGAGCATCGGCCTGCGGACCGGTGAGTAGCAGGTTCGATTCCAGCCAAGGGCACGTACCTCGGTTGCAGTTCGTCCCCAGCCCTGGTTGGGCCATGCGGGAGGCAACCAGTCTATGTGGCTCTATCACATCAATGTTTCTCTCTGTCTCCCTCTCTCCCTCCTCCCCTCCCACTCTATCTGATAAGTAGAAAAACATATCCTCGAGTGAGGAATTTAAAAAAAAAATGGATCTGCACAGCATGTGGTTCTATTTATATGATATTCTGTAAGTGACAAAGTGACAACATTATGGTGATGGAGACCAGATAGGTAGTTGCCAGGATTGGGGTTGGGGGAGGGTGGGACTGCTAAGGAACAGCACAGGTATGTTGTCTGCGGTGATGGAACAGTTCTGCATCCTGACCTGGTGATTACTCCGATCCAACACCTGATAGCGTTTCCCAGAACCATGTGCACAAGTCACGTAGAAATGGGTGAGGTCCCAATAAGGGTCATAACTTACTTAATAGGACTGCAACAATTTCCTGATTTGACAACAGCTCTGGTTACGTAAGACACTGGGAGAACCTGGGTGAAGGGGACACAGGAACTCTTGGTACTAATTTTGCAACTTATTCTGTCTTAAACGATTTCAAAATACAAAGTTATAATTTTTAAAAAAGTGAGACAAGACAAATGAAAAAACTTGTGTGTCTTAAACTATTTCAAAATAAGTTATAATTTAAGAAAAAATTAATTTATTGAGCCCCAGCCGGTTTGGCTCAGTGGTTAGAGCATTGGCCCGCGGACCAGAGAGTCCCAGGTTCAGTTCCCACTAAGGGCACGTGCCTCACTTGCAGTTTGTCCCCAGCCCTGGTTGGGGTCGTGTGGGTGGCAACCACTTCATGTGTCTCTCTCTCTTCCTCTCTCCCTCCCACTCTATCTGATGATAAAAGCAAAAAAAAAAATTAAGTTAGCGAGTTGTTGTTTTTTTTAATCCTCATCCAAGGATATTTTCCCATTTATTTTCAGAGTGAGAGGGAGAGAAAGAGAAACATCAATGTGAGAGAGACACATCAATTGGCTGCCTCCTGCATGACCCTGACCAGGACCGGGGACCAAACCACAACCGAGGTACGTGCCCTTGACCAGAATTGAACTTGAGACTCTTTGGCCACGGGCGGACACTCTAACTGCTGAGCCAAACCGGCCAGGGCAAAATAAGTTATAATTTAAAAAGAGAAAAGAAAACATAAGTGAAAAACCAGGCAAAGTAACTGGTTTTAACATCTATAAAAGAGAACAAGATACCATCCAAAAGATATAGAATACCTGAAAATGAAAATATAAATCAACATGAAAATGTTAAATAACCCAACCAATAATTGGACAAATATCAGGAAATTCAGAGAATATAAATGTCCACATGTCCATATTCAATCTTACTAATAATCAAATAAATTCAGATTAAGACAGCATGGAAATATTACCTTCCACTCATAAAAGAGTGCTGGCCAGGATATAAAGTGGCATTCCCGTACACTGCTAAGTGAGAATGTGAACTGGCCAGCACTCTAACAGGCCACTGGATGGCACCGATCCAAGTTTTAAAAGTTCACACCATCTAACCCAGCCATTCTACTTCCAGGAGTACAAAGTGCTCACCGCAGCACTATTTATAGTCGCAAAAAATTGGAGATGACCTAAATGTCTGTTACCGAGGATTGCTTGGGGTCGGGGACTAACTGCCACTGAGGTACATGCCCTTGGCCAGAATCAAACCCGGGACTCTTTGGTCCACAGGCCGACGCTCTAACCACTGAACAAACCAGCCAGGGCTAGGTACAGTTATTACACAGGGAAACTGACATTCATTAGCAAGGCGGGAGCTGGGATTCACACTCAGGTAGCCTGGGTCTAGAACCCACAACCTAAACCTTAGGCCCGGGGCTAAACATGGAGGGACATGCAGGCATATTCTGTGAGAAAAGCAAGCTACAAAGCAGCGAGCCTAACAGGGCCCCAGAGAGTGTGTACATGAAAAGAAAGGTCTGACCTTACCTTCGGGGCTTAATGTTATGGAAAACATGTACTCTTTTATTTATATATTTTTATATTTGCATTTAAAATGTTTGATTTAAATTATTTATTTTTTTATTAATGAATTAATTTTTGTTACAGATGTTGCTCCTTCCCCCATTGACATCCTTCTCCTGAATTGATTTTTTTTTTTTATCCTCACCTGAGGACATTTTTCCATTTTTCTGTTCAGACAGAGTGGGAGGGAGAAAGAGAGAGAAACATCGATGCGAAAGGGACACATCGAGTGGCTCCCACACGCATGACCTAACCAGGGCTGGGGACAAACTGCAACCAAGGTACGTGCTCTTAGTGGGAACCGAACCCGGGTCTCTCTGGACGGCAGGCCAACACTCTAACCGCTGAGCCAAACCAGCCAGGGCTATTGATTTTTTTAGAGAGAAACATCAGTTTGTTGTTTGCATTCATTGGTTGCTTCTTGTATGTGACCTGATCCCCTGACCAGATATCAAACCCGCAACCTTGAGTTATTGGAACAATGCTCTAACCAACTGAGCTACCTGACCAGGGCTATTGTTTGCATTTTTTTTTTTTACAATAAAATGTATCATTTTTTTATACAATAGGAATATTTATTTATTGAATTTATTGGTGTGACATAAGTTAATAAAATTCTATAGGTTTCAGGTGTACAATTCTTTTTTTTTCTTTATTGATTTTAGAGTGAGAAGAACGGAAGAGGGAGAGGGAGATAGAAACATCGATGAGAAAGAACATCGCTTGGCCGCCTCCTGCATGCCCCCCACTGGGGACTGGGCCCACAACCTGGGCATGTGCCCTGGCCAGAAATCAAACCAGTGACCTCTTGGTGCATGGGTCAATGCTCAACCACTGAACTGCACTGGCCAGGCGTCAGGTGTACAATTCTACAATACATCAACAGTGTTGCATTGTGTGGTCACCATCCCTACAATAAGGATATTTAAAAGTAGTAGGCCAAAAATTTAAAACGAAGAAAGAAAAGGAAAAAAAATAGGCATTGAACAGTCCAGGGTACTTACTTCCCACCCACCCCACCCCCAAGTCCCAGCCAGAGGAGGAACTTACTCCCAGGGAGGGGCTCTCCCTGGGCTGGGGCTCCTTCTCCTACGGTGAAATCCCCCGGAGAAGCCTGTCCGTGCTGATTCAGGGTAGGTGGTGGGCCGCCCTCCTGAACTCTCCAGGGCTGGCCCTTCGCTGAGGATCTTGTACCCCCGCAGGGGAACATGAGATCAATGGCCAAAGTAAAACTACTTCCAAAAACAAACTGGATAACAAATAACATAAAAAACCGGAGATTAGGAGAGACCGATGTGTTTAAAACAAGCAAAACAAATACACAGAAGTCTATGGAGTTGAGGTTCCAGTCCCCTCATGCTTCAAAAAATGCTAATATTTGCAACTTGGTGGAAATTACATCCCCCTGCAACTACTTAAATTTGAAATGGTTTAAATGTCCATTTGAACATGTGCAAAGAGGCACACGACTTTTCAATATCACGTCACTGTACGAGCCACTTGAGCCAAGAAAACCACCGATCCCACCCAGCTCTGCACCCAGATGGCTGCCTGGTCCAGGCCTCTGGGTGGCAGCAACTCTGAATCTGTGTGCGGATCGGGCTCCAAGCTTAAAATGTCTCCACCCTTTCTGGGAGGCAGAGGAATAGGGTCCTGGGGTAAACTTAGGTGTGTGTATGGGGGTGTTTCTGCAGGAGGAGTTGTATGAAGTGGGAGGTGCCTTGGCAGAGTTTTGGGACTGGCAGAGGGACTGGAGGGCAGAGGGAGGCTGATGTAACTCTACCCAGAGCCCACTGCTTTGTCCTTGAAATTCCACAGCTAACAAGTCACACTTGGGATGAAGTATTCCATCTTCCTGCTCCCTGAGAACACAGTTTCCTCCGCAGGGGATCCTGAGCCTCCTGAAGGTCTGAAAGGGAAATGTCAAGGTCAGAAAGAGGAAGAAGGTGCTCTGGAGACACACAGTTTCGAGGAGGGTTGACCTTGCTTCCTAGTGGTTGGGAAACAAAAGAACCTCATGGAAGGAGGGGCAGATGGGTCACAGGACGGAAATCTCATAAACGAAATGTGGCATATCCATACAATGGAATATTACTCAGCCTTAAAAAGGAATGCAATCCTGATGCATGCTAAACACGGATGTAACCTAAAAACATTATACTGCTTGAAATAAATCAGACACAAAAAGACAAACTTTGCAAGATTCCACTGTATGGTACTTGGAATAGTCAGATTCATAGTTAGAAAGGGGAAATGAATGAATGAATGGTGGTCATGAGAGGTGGATGGGAGGAAGTAATGGAGAACTAGTGGTTAATGACGACAGAGGTTCAGTTTGGGATGATAAAAAAGTTTTGGTGGTGGCCCAGCCGGTGTAGCTCAGTGGTTGGGCATCAACCCATGCACCAAGAGGTCGCCAGTACAATTCCCAGTCAGGGCACATGCCCAGGTTATGGGCCAAATCCCCAGAGTGGGGCACGCAGGAGGCAGCCAAGTGATGTCCTCTCTCATCAATGTTTCTATGTCTCCTTCTCCCTTCCCCTCTCTCTAAAATCAATACAGAAAAAAAAAAAGTTCTGGTGGTGGATGATGGCTACACAATGTTGTGAATGTACTTAATGTTACTGAATTGCACAACTGAAAATGATTCAAGGGCAAATTTTAGCACGTGTATACTTTACCACAATAAAAAATAAGCTCAATCTAAAAAAGCCTTTAGATCTAACTTCCAGTTTACAGGAGACACAGGGGTTAGAAAAACAATTTAAATTGCCATATGAGGTCACAATCTGGCAAAGGTAGAATGTGGGGAATGTGGGACATTTTACAAGAAAATTGGCCTGGACATCAAAAAGTGAATGTCATGAGGGAAAAAGCGGAGGAGCTGTTCTCATCAGAGACTAGAAAAATATAATAACCAAATGTAATGCATGCACTCAACTGGATCCTGCGTCAAGAACGAACAAAGCTGCCCCGGGCGGTGGCTCAGTGAGCGGGAATGCCGTCAGCACAGCAAAAGGCTGCGGGTTCCATTCCCAGTCAGGGCACACACCTAAATTTCTGGTTCAATCCAGTTCAATTCCCAGTCAGGGTGTGTACGGAAGGCATCTGATGGATGTTTCTCTCTCTCCCTTCTTCTCTCTAAACAAACAAGTAAAAACATATCCTTGGGTGAGGATTTAATAATAAAAAAAGAGCCCTGGCCGGTTTGGCTCAGTGGTTAGAACATCGGCCTGCAGTCTGGAGAGACCTGGGTCCGGTTCCCGCTGGGGGCACGTACCTCGGTTGCAGTTTGTCCCTGGCCCGGGTTGGTCGTGCGGGTGGCGGCCAGGCCACTCGATGTGTCCCTTTCACGTTGATGCTTCTCTCTCTCTCTCCCTCCCACTCTATCTGAACAGAAAATGGAAAAATGTCCTCGGGTGAGGATTAAAAAAAAACAAAAATAATAATAATAATAATAAAAGAACAAACTTAAAAGACATTTCAAATGACTGGGAAAATTCAATTACGGACTAGATATCAGGTGTATTAGAGAATTAATGTTCATTTCCTCAGGTCTGAATACAGTGTTGTGGTTTTATGTTGGGGACCGTCCTTAGTTTTAGGAGCTACCAGACAAACACCTATCTGCAATTCACTTTCAAAACGATCCGGGCCTCACACACCCAGAAAGGGGATAAACAAATTTGGCGAAATGGAAACGACCATTGAATCCTAGTGAGTGAATACTGTAGAACTCTTGATGTTTCTGTTTGCCAAAACATTCTTTTTAAAAAATACTTTTTCTTTATTGATTTTAGAGAGGAAGGGAGAGAGAGAAGCATCGATGAGCGAGAACATCGATCAGGCCGCCTCCTGCATGCATGATCAGGCCGCCTCCTGCATGCCCCCCACTGGGGATCGGGCCCCCACCCTGGGCTTGTGCCCTGACCGGGAATCGAACCGGCGACCTCTTGGTGCAGGGTCAACGCTCAGCCACTGAGCCACAGCGGCCGGGCTGCCAAACATTCTTAATAAAAAGCTGGGGAGAAAGGGTCCAAGTTCCGGCTGTGCAGTTTAAGGGGCTCTGTGGCTCTGGGCAGAGCTGGGGACACCTACCTGGCACTGCGTTCCGGATTAGAAACGCAAACCACCTGGTCCAGGTGCCCAGGGGCTGCGGGTTACTGTCATTAGCATTATGCGGACAGTCCCGAGCAGGGGGTCCCGGGACGCGGGCCGAGAAAACCCCCCACTAGCCGGGGCGGAGCCGCCACGCGGGCACCGGAAGTGGGGTCTTGGGGCGCGGGAATCCAACCGGGGGAGGAGGGCCGCCAGCCGGGGCGGAGGCTCGGCGGACCAATCGTGGCGGAGGAGCGAGCAGCTCTCCAATGGGGACCCGTAGTGGAGGAGCTGTCAAAGCCGCAACGGAAAAGGGGACGACCCCCGCGCTCCCAGCCCTTGGCGCTCGGCCGCCGCGGCGCGCGTCCGGGCCGGGCCGGGCCGGGCCGGGCACTACCCTCTCCGGCCCCAGGGTCAGAGACCCGCAGGCACTTCGGACCGAAGCCCGGCCCGGCAGGCTCCTCCGGGCGCGGCCGCCGGGCAGAAGCAGGTGGCTTCCGCGCCCACCGGCTCCCCGTACAGTCAGAGCGGTAGCGGCGCAGGATGCAGTGGGAGGGTCGGGCGGTCCCAGTGATTCAGAGCTGGGAGGCGGTGGGGGGATGGCGACCCGCGCGCTCGCCTCGTGGTACTTCTCCCCGAGTTGTCTGCCAGGCACGTGCGGTGCTTTGGGGGCCGGGAAGAAACTTAAGCTAACGACCGGGTCGCGGGGTCTGGCTGGCTCCCGGTCACACTCGACGGTCCCTGTGCAGAGTGTGACAGCTCTTCTCTCGGGTCTAGCAGTTTGCCCCTCGCAGGGTAACGTCCAGGACAATTCAGAAAAGCAAATGCAAAGTGAAACTTAAGTTTCCGTCTCCACCCTCCACGCGCTGCCGATCTCCAGCCTCCCATTCAAGCTGCCTGATGCCCCCCCAGGAGCAGTAAATGAACTCGGGGTTCTTCAGCCCTTCTCTGAACTTCCTCTAAGGAATTTCTGCCCGGGTTGCAGTTTTTCAAACAAATAGGGGACAGTGGCCTGACAGCAGCCACAGTTTCAGTGGGGGCACCGCACAGAGGCCTCTCTGTCATTTAGGTAACTGGGAGGTTCACAGGACTGAGCGTTTTGCAGGAATGATCACATTTAATTCTCTCAGGAATAACCCCCGGGGCCCTGGCCGGGTGGCTCCATTGGTTGGAGCGTAGTCCTTACACCAGAAGGTTTCGGGTTCGACTCCCGGCCGGGGCGCTTACCCAGACTGAGGGTTCGATTCCCGGCCGGGGCGCATACCCAGACTGAGGGTTTGATTCCCGGCCGGGGCGCATACCCAGACTGAGGGTTCGATTCCCGGCCGGGACGCATACCCAGACTGAGGGTTCGACTCCCGGCCGGGGCGCTTACCCAGACTGAGGGTTCGACTGAGGGTTCGACTCCCGGCCGGGGCGCATACCCAGACTGAGGGTTCGACTGAGGGTTCGATTCCCGGCCGGGGCGCATACCCAGACTGAGGGTTCGACTGAGGGTTCGATTCCCGGCCGGGGCGCATACCCAGACTGAGGGTTCACTCCCGGCCGGGGCGCATACCCAGACTGAGGGTTCGACTGAGGGTTCGATTCCCGTCCGGGGCGCATACCCAGACTGAGGGTTCGACTCCCGGCCGGGGCGCATACCCAGACTGAGGGTTCGACTGAGGGTTCGATTCCCGGCCGGGGCGCATACCCAGACTGAGGGTTCGACTGAGGGTTCGACTCCCGGCCGGGGCGCATACCCAGACTGAGGGTTCGACTCCCGGCCGGGGCGCATACCCAGACTGAGGGTTCGACTGAGGGTTCGACTCCCGGCCGGGGCGCATACCCAGACTGAGGGTTCGACTCCCGGCCGGGGCGCATACGGGAGGCAACCGATCATGTTTCTCTTCCATCTATGTTTCCCTCTCTAAAATCAATAAAAGAAACATATCAAAAAGAAAATAGCCCCACAGGTTAGGTAGGGCGACAAGCCCCATTTTACAGAACCTTGGAAGTCATCTGGCGTCTCCCAGAGCCACAGCCGCTGAAAGGCGGGACCCAGGAGCTAGCAGCCCCAGTCCACAGAGCACCCCAAGATTCGCCTGCTGTCAGGGACCCTGCCCACCCCAGTGATTGACACATCTCTAAAAGCGCGAACCACCGTTCTACGCTGCGTCAGGCGCGTTTTGCAGTCATTGGTGTAGATCGCAGGTCTCAAACGTTACTGGGGACTCGGGCTGGGGGTGGGATCCTGGCTCCGGCACATCCAATGGGATCGGAGGACGCGCGGAGCAGCTTTCCGCGGGGTCTTTAAAAAGCCGGGCGAGCGGGCCGCGGGAGCCCTGGAGCAGAGCGAGCCTCACCTGTACCTGTGGAGCCCGCGCCGCCGCCGCCGCCGCCGCTGCCATGCTGTCCGTCCGCCGCCCGCTCGCCACCCTCCCGGACCCGCAGCAGCTGCAGCTGCAGTCGCCCCTGAAGGGGCTCAGCCTGGCGGACAAGGAGAACACGGTGAGCGGCCGGGCGGGCGGGCGGCGGGCCGGGGCGGGCCCGGGGGGCGCGGGCTGCCCCTCACCGCCTGTCTCCCCGCAGCCCCCGGCTCTCAGTGGCACCCGCGTGCTGGCCAGCAAGACCGCCCGGAGGATCTTCGAGGAGCCGGCCGAGCCGGTGAGCGGGCCTGGGCGGGCCTGGGCGGGAAGGGCCGAGTGGGCGGTGCGCCCGGTGGGGGGCGCCCCGGGAGGAGCCTGGTCTTGGCGCCAAGGCCTCATTATTGTCTGCCCAGCCTGGCTCCTCCCTGCCCGCGCTTTCCCGCCGAGTTCGCCTCCACGTCCGCGAAGTTCCTGCTTCTCCCCGCTCCCTCCCTCTGCGCTCTGTAGGGTATCTGGGACAGCGAGCCACATGACATTGCCGACCTGGGCCCGGCCTGGGGCGGAAACAACGGCAGTTTCATTTGGTTCGCCGGATACCTGAGCGTCTTCATGACTTTCTGTCCCAGCAGAAACCTCAGGTCCCTGCCCTCGGCGTGCAGGATGAACCGCTGCTGAGAGAAAACCCGCGCCGCTTTGTCATCTTCCCCATCGAGTACCATGATATTTGGCAGATGTATAAGAAAGCCGAAGCTTCCTTCTGGACAGCCGAGGAGGTAATGGGAGTCAGGAACTAAGGCCCTTAGGGAAAGTTCAGGCGTCTCCCCTGTCTCCAGACAAAGACCCCGCAGTAGCGGTGACAAGTCGTTTGAAATGTGCTTGACGCCCGGCCCGTGTGGCTCAGTGGTTGAGTGAGGACCCTGCACCAAGAGGTCGCCGGTTCGATTCCCGGTCAGGACACAGGCCCAGGTTGTGGGCCCGATCCCCAGTGGGGGCACGCAGGAGGCGGCCAGTCGATGTTCTCTCTCATCGATGTTCCTCTCTTTCCCTCTCCCTTCTCGCTAAAATCAATAAAGGAAAAAAAAAAGTTTTAAAAAAATATATGCTTTACTCTTCCTTTTGTTCCCCTTGGGGATGGTTGTCCCCCAAGGCTGGTGCATGTTCTAAGTGGCCGGGGAATCCACTGCGTGGGGCAGAAAGTTGAGAATGACCCGGGTGCGTGAGGTCCTGCGTGCTTGACGTCCCTGTCACTTCTGAACCAGGTGGATCTCTCCAAGGACCTCCAGCACTGGGAAACCCTGAAGCCCGAGGAGAGGTACTTCATCTCGCACGTTCTGGCCTTCTTCGCGGCCAGTGACGGCATCGTGAATGAGAACTTGGTGAGCTGTCCCCCCAAGTCTTCATTCACCTCAGGATTTGAGGGAGAACGAACGAATTCTCTTTTTCTCGTCTTCTAGATTTTCGCATTCCAAATGTGTAGAAGACTCTGCGTTAGCATTCTGGGGTGTTTTCTGATTTATAATATACTGTGCAGTTCTTTCTCCCTTAGGGCATTTGATTCCCTGACCCGAGACGCTCAAAGACAATGTTAAGTGGTAACAGGTTCTAGCCAAGTGTTACAGAAAAATAGGGGTTCTCTATCTCCTGATCTGTAAATTGAGCACATGACATGAAATGTCCAGCTTTACACTGAATAATAGGACTCATACAGAGAAACAGACCTTAAAGTGGCACGAAAAAGGGAGGGTGGTGCAGCCAGTGTCCACCCATTGACCAAACAGCTGCTGGTGGTTTTTCTTCAAGCTGAATTTGACGTGTTTGCCACTAGGTGGAGCGCTTTAGCCAAGAAGTTCAGATCACAGAAGCCCGCTGTTTCTACGGCTTCCAAATTGCCATGGAAAACATACATTCTGAAATGTACAGTCTCCTCATTGACACTTACATTAAAGATTCCAAGGAAAGGTGAGTATTTGGGTGGTATGCCAACATGTTTAGGACTCACTGATTGTTTCAAGTTTTTGAACTCCTGTAGGGATAGAAAAATGACTCTGGCCCTGTCCGGTGTGGCGCAGCAGTGAGCATTGGCCATGGACCTGAAGAGTCTCAGGCTCGATTCCCAGTCAAGGGCACATACCGGGTTGTAGGTTTGATCCTCGGCCCTGGTCAGGGTCATGCGGGCCAATCGATGTGTCTCACACCAATGTTTTTCTCTCTCCTTCTCTACCTCCCTCCCTCCCACTGTATCTAAAAATCAGTGGAAAAATATCCTGGGGTAAGGATTAACAACAAAAATGACTCTTGCATGACTAAGTCAAAGAAATTCCATGGTCACATCTTTGAGGAAGGAGCCTACATTCCCTTTAGTAGCCAATCACTTAAAAGCTAAGTTATTGGACTACTCCGTTTTCAGAGGTGGAAGGTACTGATAGTCATCTAATCTAATGCCTTCTGTATGATGGAATAAAACCTAGGTCTGACAGGTTTTACTCCTGGCAGATCTCATCTACAGTGTGAGGCTGGGGCAGGGTGGAGGAGGTAGAGGATACAGAGTAGAACATAGCTTATCTTTTAAAGAGCTAATGATCAAATACAGAAAATAAGACCTAGAAGCACAGTGGGAGGAATTGCCTAATACAGTAACACCCCCCCACCCCCCACCCCCCACCCATGCGGGTTATGTTCCAAGACCCTGAGGATGCCTGAAACTGGATAGTACCCAACCCCATAGAGACTGTTTTTTTCCTATATCCACATACCTATGATAAAACTTAACTTATATAAATTACGTGCAGGGAGAGATTGACAGTAATAAGCAGAACTGTAGTAACCTACTGTAATAGAAGTTATGTGAATGTGGTCTCTTTCTGAAAACAGACAGCTAAGTGACTGATGGTGGGTGGTGTGAACAGCCCAGACACACTGGTCAGAGGTTCACGTTCTAAGTAGAACAGCATGAGATTTCATCAGGCTACTCAGGATGGTGTGCAAGTTAAAACTTGGGAATAGTTTATTTCTGGAATTTTCCATTTAGTTATTATATACATACGGCATTTGAGCCCCAAATAATTGGCCCGATGATATAATCTTGGTGGGAGGGGTGCTGTCTATTTAGGGTGACAGTAGTCAGCATAGCTTAACAGTCTTAGCAGTTAAGATTCTGTGGTTTTTTTAAATTTTAGCAAGATAGGGCCTGTGAACTTTGTCTTGATCTGGACTTAATAGTTAAGCCAGTAAATGCTCTTGGTGTAATGGACTAAGAGTTTTAGTGTTAATAGATCTTGGGAGTCAATACAAACGAACGAATATCTAAATTTATATTAACATAAACCAAATAAATAATGAGATTTTAAAGAGAACAGTGAAGGAAAAAGGAAATTGATTAAAAAAAACACAAAACATCCATTTGAGCCACAGTTTGGCTTTGGGTGTCATTGCTCTGACCTTGTGACAGAAGGTCTCTGCTGGGGTTGCTGATGCTCTATGTTCCCACAGGGAGTTTCTCTTCAACGCCATCGAGACGATGCCTTGTGTCAAGAAGAAGGCAGACTGGGCCTTGCGTTGGATCGGGGACCAAGAGGCCACCTATGGTAAGGGTACCTAGGGCCTTCCTTACCCCTGGACTTCATTGAGTGACGTTACTGGTTAGCTGACCCTTCCTATGAACATGGGTGTAACATGGGCGCGCGCTCAGCGGACATATTTTGGTGCTCACTCTAACAGGAGAACGCGTTGTAGCCTTTGCTGCAGTAGAAGGGATCTTCTTTTCCGGCTCTTTCGCATCGATATTCTGGCTCAAGAAACGGGGACTGATGCCGGGCCTCACGTTTTCCAATGAACTTATTAGCAGGGATGAGGTGAGTCTAGATCAAGTAACAGGCTGATCTGCACCCCAGCACTGACTCTTTGGTGTGTTCACTGAACAGGGAACCCATGATATCAGATTGCCTTATATCCACATTTCACATGTGAAATTCAACCACATACATCCTGGGCAAGGAATGAAATGCTTCAAATAATTACTGGAATTATTTTACCTGTATTCTCAATATATCATAGTATGTTTATGCCTAGGTATTTCTCTATGCATGATGGGATTTTAATTTTTTTAATCCTCACCCAAGGATATTTTCCCATTTATCTTCAGAGAGAGTGGGAGGGAGGAAGAGAGAGAGAGAGAGAGAGACACAGTGACTGGTTGCCTCCCACAGGACTCTGACCAGGGCTGGGGACCAAACTGAAACCGAGGTACGTGCCCTTGCCTGGAGTCTCATAACTTAGCTTTTAAGCGACTGGCTACTAAAGTGAATTTAGGCTCTAACTGCTGGCCATGTTGGGATTTTTCAAGGAAGAGTTTTTTCCTTGGTATTCTGTGTGCTCCTACTGTAATTCAGTTAGTTGACGAGCATCTCAATGAAATAAGAACCCATGCTGGGCCAGCGTGGATCTGTGAATGCTTGGACTGAGCTGCAGAGAGGAAGGGGCGCCCAGGTATTCTAGTTTGGGCCACGTCAGCATTACTTGGGATTTAATGCACGAAGACTGGCAGAGTTGATTCACTTGAAATTACATTATCAGTTTCCTGCACATTAGATTATAAATCTAAGAAGTAGCCTAGTCAAGAGTTTTGCCTTTCCTCCTGGGAGTAGAGGCAACATGAGAGCGCACGGCTGCAGAAAGAAAGGATGCTTTGAGCGGAAGTTCTCCCACATCCTTTGCCACATCACAGTGGCAAGGACCAGACTTGGTCTGCTGTCAGCACCTCGGTGGCAGCTTTGAGAGCTTTGGGTGGGGCTGAGCCTGTTTCCGTGACATGAGCAGAGTAGATGGTTAAACTCTTCCTTCCTTCCTTTTTTTTTTTTTTTTTTTGTTAATCCTCATGCTAGGGTATTTTTTTCCATTGCTTTTAGAGAGAGTGGAAGGGAGGGAGGGAGGAGAGAGAGCGAGAGAGAAACATAAATTGATGTGAGAAAGACACATCAATTGGTTGCTTCCTGCACACACCCCAACTGGGGCTGTGGATCGAACCTGCAACCCTTTGGTTCGCAGGCCAGTGCTCTAACCACTGAGCACACCGGCCAGGGCAAACTTTTCTTCCTTTCAACAGTGGTGGCCAAGCAGGATGTACAAAGAGAATGCAGAAAAGGTTAAAGCCGTTTCCGACTCCATGTTAATGATGGACATCTTCCGGTGTGATAGTGACCTTAAACCTTTCCTTCTAGGGTTTGCACTGTGACTTTGCCTGCCTGATGTTCAAACACCTGCTACACAAACCTTCGGAGCAGAGAGTGAAGGAAATAATTACCAACGCTGTGAGGATAGAACAGGTGGGTGAGCCGTACGGTCCCGCGCTTGCTGCAGCCGCAGCCACCGCCGCCTTCCCGCCCGGTTCACTGAGAGGCTGTGTTCTGGTCCCTAGGAGTTCCTCACCGAGGCCTTGCCAGTGAATCTCATCGGGATGAATTGCACGTTAATGAAGCAGTACATTGAATTCGTGGCCGACAGACTCATGCTGGAGCTGGGTTTTAGCAAGGTAAGGCACTGTTCAGAGCCCCTCCGGTTCTTCCTTTTTAATTAATTATTTTTGTTACAGATGTTTCTCCTTTTCCCCCATTGACCCCCTCTTCCCAGTCCTGCCCCCTCTCCCCCCAGTTCTTTTGAAACTGGTGTTTCGCATTAATGCTTTGTTGTGAACCTTTCAGGTTTTCCGAGTAGAGAATCCGTTTGACTTCATGGAGAATATTTCGCTGGAAGGGAAGACGAACTTCTTTGAGAAGAGAGTAGGCGAGTATCAGAGGATGGGAGTGATGTCAAGTCCGACAGAGAACTCCTTTACCCTGGATGCTGACTTCTAAGCGGACTGAAGGTGCTTTTATTTTGCCTTTTTTTTTTTTTTCTTCTCAAAAGAAAAACTAGTTACTTGAAGTGAACCAAAACTAGCCACTGCAATATTAGTCCCGTTTGTTAACGATGGTAGTGGTGTCAGCTAGAACGAAAGCCCAGAAAAAGCTACTCAGTCTTTAAAAGGTCTTGTCCAGTTTGGCTGTTACAAGCAGGCAGGCTCTCCGTGGCTTCCAGCAGACCTCGGGACGCGGGCCTCAGCCTACAGTTACTACCACGAGGCCATTGGAAGATGTCGGCCTTGCTGCCTCAAAGCAGATTTCAAAGTTACTTATTTGTATATAAAATTGGCACTTTACATACAGAGTAAACAGCTTGTATTGTCAGCACAAAGGCCCGATTTAGCCTAACTTGGGTAGTTTGTACAAATGCAAAGTCTTCTGCTGACCACTAGTGGGAGCCAACTCACAATCTACCAGGTGACCAAGAGAAGTTCAACCAATCTAAGCATGTTATTTCTACTCTTTATTTTCTTGAACCAATTGAAGTGCCTTTTCATCAACTTTAAATTCAGTCCTGTGAATACCTAAGTATTAGCCAGTTGCTACCAGGTAGAAGGGGTGGTTTTGTATCCTGTAGCCCCGGTCGAGTATCTGGGATAAGATCCGGGGGAAGGAACTTCTCACTTGACTCCGTGACTCCGTCGGCACTGATGTGCTGACTGCTGGTAGCCTGGGTGTGTGTGACAGTCGGTGTCATTTTATTTCTCCAGCTGCATTTCCCCAACTTTAGTTAGTATGAAAGATCCTGGGAGACTCTTCACAGCGGGGTCTAGGGTAGGACTGTACGTTGATCTTCACACCATCCTTGAACAAAATGACCCAGTTAAGATCTTGCTCTTACTAAGTGGTACAACCAGGCTGAAATAGGTTTCCAAACATTGTTTTATTCTGGTTTTGTTTAATTCGTGTGTAAATAGCCACTATGGACTTGAATCAGTGTATGTTTACTGCATGTCTCTTAAATTAGAAAATGTTTTGTAACTATCCTTTTACAACATATCTAAGCTTATGCTTTGCAGTAGTTACCCAGTCCCGACGTGCAGTGTGTAACGGACTGTGTATATGTGTTCAGTTACTTCCAGTGTTTAAACCTGAGCGTCGCCTGGTAGATCAGAAACGTAGTATATTGCGTGAGCTATTAAATACCAGTTCCTTTCAAGTCCTAGTTTCCGAAGCAGCTTTGGCCCCTTTGTTAACATGTATTGTGTGTTGATTAACCACTGGCCTATTGTATAAAGGGTCAAGTCGTTCATTTAAAAACTTATGTAACTTGCAACTCTTTTCTATCTTTTAAGTTATTGTTAACTGAAGTAAATTCAGATTTTGTGATACTCACACTTGTACAACACAAAAATAAATAAACGCTTTGCCGTGTGTTGGCGGGTACAGGTGGAGGTCCCCTGAGCTGTGTGGTGGAAGAATTCCCTTCCTCCAGCTAGGATTCCATTTCCAGTCGGTTTACAGGGAAACAGCGTTTAGTCTGAAGCATTTGGAAGGCTCTTTTTTTTTTCTTCTTTTGGTACGTGCCCCTAGTGGGAACCGAACCCGGGACTCTGGTCCGCAGGCCAATGCTCCAACCGCTGAGGCAAACCGGCCAGGGCTGGAAGACTCTTAAAATGGAATACTTACTACACAAGCGTTGAGGGATTAAAATAAACTGTTCTCGATGGATGGGGGCGTTGGGGAGCGGCATGGAGAAGGTGACATTGCTTCTCTGGAGGTGGGGCTGGGGGCCAGCCTTCCCGCGGCCGCCTTCCCGCCTGCTCACGCCAGGTTTCCCCGGGGAGGAGGGGCTCACTGGGAAGGCCCAGGTTCTGTCCAGCTCCAGGAATCAGCCCTCACCGGGTGGCTGCTGGAGGAGGAAGTTAATCTGAGCAGAGTATTGTGGGTAAAGGCATGCTCCGGGTCCTGGAGGAACCTAGGTGAGAGCTTGGCCTTTGCCTCCTGCCGATGGTAAAGGGTAGTGACTCCCAAGAAGGAGTTCCCGGAGGCTGTGCACGGAGACTGACCGCGACAGCCTGAGCGGCAGCGGCCGTGGGGTGGTTATTAGTTCCTTAGAGAAACCCAAGGATGAGGGGTCCCACACCCCTTAGGGTCTGGAGGAGGGAGCGACATGCAGGAGGGGAGGAGTTGGAACCCAAACCTGTGTAAAGCCTGTCCCCCCCACCCCCCGGGAAATGGGGGCTAAGGAATTGTCCCACTGGCCTGAGGGCCTGGGTGTTCATTTTTCTGGACTCAGCAGAGTAGCTGTCTAGGAACTCCTGGATGGTAACCCCAGCTTGGCCACACGTGATCCCGTGGGCAGAGCTCACAGTCATTAATTATGAGACAGGATTATAGGAACAATGGGCCCTGGCATCCCAAGTACTTCGGGGTAATAAGGTGAAAGGTAATACAATGTGATCAAAGGGGAAAAGTAGGTCAAAACCCGCAGACCAGCGCTGTAAAATAATTGATCCTGAGCATTCCGAGGGCTGCCCGTGACCCCAGACCTCTGCCTGCGCTCCCCAATGACGGGGCAGAGATGGTGGTAGGAGTTGGCAGGGCCTTGGAAAGGCTTGCTCTGCCCCCAGAGGCCACCGTCGGACCCTGTTGCCCACGATCAAAGTCCCCTGGTCACGGCCACTGGGATCCCAGACTCCACACAGCAAGGACCTGGCTCCTGCCCGCCAGAGCCAGGCCCGGGGTGTGTTGGGGTTAAGGGTGGAGAAGGCTTGTTTGGCCCCCTGGCCTTAGAGTTCAGGAGCTGTGTGTGGGCTGCAGCAGCCATGACGCAGGCCTCTCTCCAGACCGGGGCCACACCTGGCAGAAGGATCGCTGGTCTGCCAGGAAACGGGGTCCTCGTGGCTTGGTTTTCTGGGTCTAACCATGCACAAAGTCCATACCCCAAGCCTCACTTAAACTTGAACTGAATCCACAGCCCTGAGCTCCTGGCCCACAGTCGCCCTGGGGCTGAGGTGACCTCACTACAGATGCAGCCAACAGGCTCAGGGAGGTCCGTGCCTTGCTGAGGACCTCATGTGGATAAACTGCCCAGGACTAGAATTCATGCTCGCCCCATGGCCAGACTCTTGTCCCTTTATCACATGCCCCCCTTTATGAGAACGGACACCCCAGGCCTCCTGTATGCTGGTCCCAAGGAACTGCTCCTGTGTCCTCACTCCCCTTGTCCTGGTGGCCTGTGGTGTGTCACGCTGCTCTGGGGGTGCTGAGGGGAGCCAGGCGCTCAAGTTACTAGTTAGGATCCCAGGTCTTAGTAATAGGCGGGTGGAAACGGGGATCTGGGTAGTGGAACATGGGGCGCCAGCTGTTTCCAGAATGCCTGGAGCAATAGCTGGCCCTCCAGTGCAGGGGCCCCAGGACCAAGCTGAGAAAGGACTCGCTCTGGAAGCCAGAGAGCAGGCACTGGGGCTGGTCCAGTCTCCCCAGGGAGCCCTTGGTTTCTGGCAGGGCGGGGCCGGGCAGCAGATGCTGGCTTTGAGAACCAGGTGACTAGTACCTGGTGTATGTTTAAAAACAGCTCTGTTGAGATGCAGTTTACATACCATCCAGTTCACCCATGTAAGCTGTGCAATTCACTGGTTTTTAGTGTATTCCAGAGTTGAACATTCTCCACAGAGCCCCACCCTATTGTCCCCCCTACCCGGCAGCCCCTGGTGACCACTGATCAGAACAGCAGTTGTCTCCATAGATTTGAGGTGACACCTTTTCTAAGTGCTCCATAAGCAGGAGTTACTTATGGAAATGGCACTTTATTTCAGATCATTTAGAAGGTCAGAGGCAGCAGGAGGTGGGTCTGCCAGGGTGGACCTACACTGCAGAAAGCTTTCTCTGGGCATATTAGAAAAATATTTTGCATTAAGAAGATGACACCGCCCAGCTGGTGTGGCTCAGTGGTTGAGCGTTGACCCTGCACCAAGAGGTCACTGGTTCAATTCCCAGTCAGGGCACATGCCCAGGTTGTGGGCCCAGTCCCCAGTGAGGGGCATGCAGGAGACAGCCAATCGATGTTCTCTCTCATCGATGTTTATCTCCCTCTCTAAAATCAATAAAGAAAAAAAAGAGATGACATTGCCTGAGGGAGGACTTGGCCCACTGACAACTCACTCACTGGTAGACCTTCATTCCTTCACTCCAGGGTCAATAAACATGAACTCAGGCCTCCCTTTGAGCTGGGGGCGGGGCGGAAGGAAGGTCAGTGGTCAGGAAACTGGCCCAGGGGTCAGATCTGGTCCATAGAAGAATAATTACATTTCACGACACATGAAAGTTACACGAAATTTGTTTCAGCAGTTTTGACATGGTTTTATTGGATAACTCGAGACTTCAGCAGCACCCGTCTAGCAAGCAGGAAGGAGCTCCCAGGAGCTGTGCACAGTGAAAGGCTTGTAAGCAGAGTGGGACAAGGAGGTGCAGTGAGCGGATTATTTCAGGCAAGGACACCCTCCCTCGGGGAGGGCAGGGGTTTTACCAGGCAGGGCGCCTCACCAGCACTGACCAGGAAGTTCCAGGCTGGTCTGAAAGTGCCCCCGGGAGAGGCTGGGACTGCAGTCAGGAATGAAGTCCCCGTGAGGCTGAGCACCAGTGGCTCCATTTTGGGCCTGTTGGTTGGTGTTCATGGCGCCCAGAAACCGTTCCAGGGCACACGGCCTCCTCGCTCTGGCTGCGGCAGCGGTTGGACGGTTGCGACAGGAGCTGTATTTTTACCTGGAGCCACAATATTTTCGATCTGGCCCTTCCCAAAGAGTGTTTGATGACTTAAAATCAGTCGAGGCATGACCTTGTTCTTGAAAGGGTCATGGTCAAGGCAGGAAGCAAGCTGGTCAGTGGGGGGCTGGAGCCAGCAACTCCCTGCTGGAGAGGATTTTACCGAATTTTCAGGGATTTTGTGAACATTTGTTTGCTGGGGCTGCCGTAAACCACCGCAGGCTGGAGGCCTAAACAGAACTTTGTTCTTTACAGTCTGGAGGCTGGAAGCCCAAGACCCAGGTGTCTGCAGGGTCTGTTTCCCTGAGGGCCTGTCCTAATCTCTTCAAAGACATAGTCAGGTTGGATCAGGGCCCGCCCATATGATCTCATTAACCCAAATTTACCTCTTTAATGACCCACCCTCTCCAAAAACAGTCACCTTCTGAGGTGTTGGGGGGGGAGGGTTGGGACTTCAGCTTGTGGGTTGTGGGGGGATTCAGTTTAACCCATTTCACTGAGCTAGTTGTTAAATGCAGACATTATTAAGTGTTAAATTACATAAGCTTACAATCAGTATCACAGATAAATATGATAGCTGGGCCAGCATGGCTCAGTGGTTGAGCGTCGTCCCATGGACTGGAGCTGATTCGATTCCTGCTCAGGGCACGTACCCGGGTTGTGGGCTTGATCCCAGTGGGGGGCATGCAGGAGGCAGCCAATTGATGTGTCTGTTTCACATGGATGTTTCTATCTCTCCCTCTCTCTTTAAAAGATCAATAAAAACATTTTTTTTAAAACAAGTGTAAATGCCCCAGCCGGTCTGGCTCAGCAGTTAGGGCGTCGGCCTGTGGTCTAGAGAGACCCAGGTTCGGTTCCCGCTAAGGGCGCGTACCTCAGTTGCAGTTTGTCCCTGGCCCTGGTTGGTCGTGCGGATGGCAGCCACTCAATGTGTCCCTTTTACCGTCGGCCTGTGGTCCAGAGAGACCTGGGTTTGGTTCCCTCTAAGGGCACGTACCTCCCGCTCTATCTGAACAAAAAGTGGAAAAATGTCCTCGGGTGAGGATTAAAAAAAAAAAAGCCTTTACTACGGCCCGGTGGGTGTGGCTCAGTGGTTGAGCATCGACCTATGCACTAAGAGGTTGCTGGTTCAATTCCTGTTCAGGGCACATGCCCAGGTCGTGGGCCTGACCCCCAGTGAGGAGCATGCAGGAGGCGGCCAATCAATGTTCTCTCATCATTGATGTTTCTCTCTTCCTCTCCCTTCCTCTTTCTCTAAAATCAATAAGGAAAACAAATTTAAAAAAAATAATAGTTAGCCTTTACTACGTGTTACTATTATCTATGCCCCGAAGCTCTGCGTGTTCCATCTGCATGGAGGAAGCGGCGGGGAGCGTTACTGAGCATCTCCCACTCCACGAGGGTGCGCGCCCCGGGAGGGTGTTTGCACGTGGAGAGCGCTAATGCCGTTCGGGCCCTCCCCGGAGAGCTGGTTGTTAGACATGGGCCGGCGCACCGCTGAAGCGGGTGCGGTGCTGACTGCAGAGGGTGCGGGCCTGGGGAGTCAGCGGAGGCTTCACAGACCCTTGGAGCACGAGGAAGGGTCGGCCAGGCGTGGGGGACGAAGGGCGACGTGGTTTGCAAAGCCCGGAGGCAGGAGAGGGCGCTCCGTGTCGGGCTGGGGGCGGTGGCGGGCGAGTCACGGGTGGGAGAGGGAGATCAGTTGTGAAGGGACAGCGCCATGCAGAGGAAGGTCTACTGGGTCTGGTAGTCATGGGAGCCATGGGGGGTCCTGGAGACAGGGGCGGAGGTACAGTGATCACTGGCTGGCGGGGGGGGGGGGGGGGGGGGGGGGGGGTAGTGCTTGGGCCTGTGTGTGGGGTGTGGGCAAGGCCCTGGGACTTGCTGCCTCTCTCCTCTCCTCAGCGGGGGGGAAGGTTCTCCGTGAATGCTTGCTGAGTGGCTGAATCACCCCATTCATTTTGAAACCTTTAATGGGGGACTCAGCCTTTCATCTCCAATGAGAGCTGGAGCTGGAGGTAGCCTAAATGTCAAGCAGGGGGGGCATGGTTAAGTAAATTACGGGGCATCTATACCAGGGAATCCTAACCAGTAATTACAGATGATAAATAGGAAGGTTATGTAGCAGCGAGGACTGCAGGCAGAATAATGGTCTGTGGAGATAGCAGAACAAGCTGCTGCGTGTGCTCTGGTCACAGTGACACGACACCGCGCACGGGGATACAGATGGGAGGTGTCACAGGTGGAGGAGTGGGACAGCGTCTCGGGGTGCTGGGAGGTGGAGCAGCTTTTGTGTCTGTCCTGCACTGTTGGTTTTCCTGTAACAAATGCTGAATAGCAGTTAGAGCGGCTGAGGGCAGCACCCACCAGGGCAGCCAGCCCCAGGAGGAGGTCAGGGCAGAGGGGCCGGTCCCTGTGCCCCCGGGGCTGGCCTGGGTTATAGGGGGTGTGGGGCCGCTCCATGCAGGGCTGGTTGGTGATTCGCACGAATCTCTCAGAATCTCAAATCACTTCCAGCCGAGAGGGTGGGCTGTGGGCAGTTCCAAAGCCCTTTCTGTTCAGAGAATCTTGGGCTTTGAATCTTCGCTGTGCTCGGGCTCAGAGGGGTTAAGTCTGCAGGTGGCAGAACTGGGACTTCACCTGGGGGTGTTGGGCCTTCACCCTCCCGCCCCCCACGGGGTTCCCTCTTGGAGTTTCAGCGTTAGTGCTACCCAGCCTCGTTCACAGACACACCGTGGGCTGTGCTGGGATGAGGTCCCTTGTACGAATGCAGCCTCCCCAGGGAGACTGTCAACCCCTCCTGGTCACTGCCACAGAGACCTCAGCCATGGTGGGTAGACAAATCCTGTGACTGGAGGGAGCCTGGGGTCTGGGACCTGGTCATGGAGCTGCCAGTGTGCAGCTAAGGTTCATATGCTCCAAGGTCATGGAAAGAGGGTGATTAGCTCTGGGGAGGAAGGCAGGCAGGGGCAGAGGAAGAACCCTTATCTATTCTTGCTGGGAAGGAAAAGGCGTGGGTGGGGGAGACAGTGAGCACAGGTGAGCAGCCCCAGCGGCGGGAGGAGCGGGAGAGGCGGGCTGGGGCTGGGAGGCCGTTAATTCAGTCGTCTGAGAACCCTTCTCTGCATCCGCTCTGCCCAGGTGCTGGGGAGACAGGAAGCGCAAGGCAGCTGAGCCAGGCCCTCCTGGATTGCGAAACGAAACCGGCTAACCGACCTACGACCTGCGTAAGTCAGGCAGGGCGCTCCCCTCCCGGGAGCAGGGAGGGACAGGAGGGTGTGTGCTCTCCCTGGGCGCGGGTCAAGGAAGGGCTCTCAGGAGGGAGCTGGGGAGGAAATGGGGCCAGCCCCGTGGCTAGAGGAGGAAGCCCGGCTCCAGCAGCGGCTGCTGGCCCGCCAAGGGGCCGGGAAGGGCCAGGGAGGGGCTCCGTGGGGCTGGGCTGGGCTGGATGGATCTCCCAAAGGGCCGTGAACCCAGTGGGAACTCCCAGCTGGACCTGGACCAGAAGCATCGTCTTCACCTGGGTGTTTCTTCACCTGGGTATTTGCAAGGAATGCCAAGTCTCACCCTGGCCGCTTTGGCTCAGTGATTAGAGTGTCGGCCCGCAGACCAATGAGTCTCGGGTTCAGTTCTGGTCAAGGGCACGGACCTTGGTTGCGGTTCATCCCCGGCCCTGGTCAGGGTCTTGCGGGAGGCAGGTACAGGCCCTTAGCGGGAACCAAACCCCAGTCTCTCTGGACCACAGGTCGACGCTCTAACTGCTGGCCAGGGCTCACATTGATCTTTCTTTCTCTCTCTGTGTCTCTCTCTCTCTTTCTCTCTCTTCCTCCCTCCCACGCTATCTGAAGATAAATGGAAAAATACCCTCTGGTGAAGATTAAAAAAGAAAAAAAAAAGCCAAGTCTCAGACCCCAGCCCAGACCTACTGAATCAGCTCAGGGGGTGGGAGTTGCTGATGATTCAGGGCTTTAATCCCCCTCCTGTGCCCCAAACCTTAGTGGTGAGCGTGGCCACTCAGGTCTTCCTTCAGCCAGTGGGCATAAGGGAACCTGGGGAATAATCCCTCCCCCCTCTACCCCATGGGCCCTGATTGGTTGGGTCTGAGTCTACTTTCTTGGGAAGCAACTCAGTTTGGGCCTGAGTGGTTTAATGTGGGGGAGAGAAGGTTGGGAGAGGACGCAGGGAGGAGGGCGGGGTAGGGTCAGTACTCATTACCTGTCAGCCAGCACTGCCAGAGGGTGGGGTGCAGGGGTTGGGCCCCTGGGAGGTTTCCTAGACTCCAACTCCTTTCTTTTTTTATCTTCCTGGGTGGTGTTCTTGAAAGGTGACGTCCACCCGCTGAGTCAACCCACCTCTCTCCTGCTCCGCCCAGCCAGCCCTCTGGAAGGAGGAGTCTGTAGTTACTGCCACCGTTCCCATGTGCCCCAACATCTCAGTTCCGCGTCTGGCTGCCTTCCTGGCCTTGCCCGCTGACGCTTCCTTTTCGCCGTACGCTATTCTAAGCACTTTTTGTGTTGACTCATTCACTTCTCACAGGAAAGGGACTGGAGGCACAGAGAGGGTGAGTGACTTGCCTGAGGTCACACAGCCAGTAAGGGGAGAAACTGGTGCTGGAGCTGGGGCAGCCCAGTTCCAGAGTCGCTCTGAACCTTTATGTTCATCGTGCTGCCCCCTTGTGGCCAGTAGCCCTGCTTCCGTTCTCACCCCGTCCTTTCGGCTCCCTGATCCCACACCCTACCTGGCTTTACCCCTACCGCTCTGGTGGCTCCCCTGTTCCTTTGCCCTGGGCCACCCCCTCTCTTCCCTGCTCCTGCAGAGTTTTTTCCAAGAGCCTCTTCACCCATGGAATTGCAGGTTTTCAGTTCCGGACTGAACATTCAACTAGACATCTCCACTTGAGTGCCCCACAGACACCACCCCAAACTGCACCCCAAGCATGCTCGTCTGCTGTCTCCTTGCTCAGTGGATAGCATCCCCAACTCTGAGTACCGGGTCCGAGACTCAGGCAGGTGGGGGGTGGGGATCTGCTATTGCACGTGTGGCCAGGAGGGGGCGCTTCCCTCCCTCCCTTTCCTCAGCCCCTCAGCTTCCTGCTGACGGGCCCCAGGAGGGCGGCCCAGGGCAGCCCTGCCCAGATGGAAATCACAGCTGGGCGCCTCACCTGGCTTGGTACCCGTCCCACCCACCGCTGCTCTTTCAGGTCTCACCCAGGTCACCTTTCCCAGGCACCTCCCCAAGGCCCAGCGAGACTGATTCCAGGTCTCTGCTCCCAACGCCTCCAGTAGGACTTCTCCGAGGGATCATCACACGCAATCATACCTGCCCGTCACTTTCTGACCCCCCTCCAGGTTGTGAGTCCCCTGAGGTCAGGGAGAGGGTCTCCTGTCCCCGCAGTGTCTTCAGCCGGCGTCTGGCTGGGCACGGCACTCTGGATTCCCTCAGTAGTGAATGAACGAGTGAGTGGCTCCCTCTGGGAAGCCGCTGCTGCAGGAGGTCGTGTTGCTGGGGACTGAGATAGGGACTGGAGACCATGGCCCCGAGGGGTGGCCGGTCATGGGGCTCACTTCCTTCCCTACTTTCTCCCCTCTCCCCTCCCCCCAGTCCCAGCCTGGCTAACCTGTGAGCGGCTGCAGACACCGACGGCATGACTGGCGTTACGTCCACCCTGCCCGCCACTCACCCACAGGCCTTCTGGAACTGTCCATAACCGGCATCAGGCTTCTCGGGGCCTGGAACCCACGCCGCTGTTCCTTCCACAAGTGTCCCCAAGCTCTGGGCCCGGCCCTGCTCCTGCCCAGGACTCAGAGAGGGCGGGGACAGCCCCTGCACAAGGTCCCGCATCTGCTCGCTGAGGCACACTGTATTTCTTTTCCGGTTTCCCTCGAACCCGTGCTTGTCCAGATGCGCACGTGATGTGGGGGAGCGAGGGTCGCGCCGCTGCTGGAGAGCCCACCCGGCATTCCTGTGGTCGCAGAGTCCTCTGGGGCTTGGGGCTGTGGCTGCAGCTGCAGCGCTCAGCTGTTGAGCCCGCGCTTCCTTGGCCCCAAACATGTGAGTGACCTATGGCCGTCGGCGGTCCTGACGAGCCGTCCTGGTGTGGCGGCGGAATGCCTTTCTGAACAGCCACGTTGTCTGGGAATGGGAGGGCCTCGGCTTCCTTCCGAACAGGAGGCTTCCAGAAATATCTCCATCTTTGCTGCTGTACAAGCCAGGGACCCTCTCAGCGCAGATGGGTCAGCACGTGGAGCAGGATCACCTAGGAGATGGCCCCAGCGCCGGCACCCACGCTCACTCGGTGTGCTCTCCCCCTGAGCGCCGAGGCCGGGCTGCCTGGACCGCCCTGCTCTGGGGGGGTGGGGGGGGTGCACAGGGGCCGGCACTGGAGGGACGTTAGTGCCACACTGAGGGATCTGAACTCTGGCCCCAAACCCTCACGGAGTTTCAGCTGGAGAGTGACGCAATCATGTCTCGCAGAGGGTGGTGTTTTTCATTCTCTTTTTCTTTTTAAATTGACTTTAGAGAGAGAGGAAGGGAGAGGGAGAGAAAGAGAGGGAAACACTGACGTTTCTCTCTCATATCGATGTGTCCCTCCCAATCGATTCCGCAGTCTGGGTATGTGCCCCGGCTGGGAATTGAACCCGTGACATTTCGGTGTAAGGGACCATGCTCCAGCCGCCTGAGCCGCCTGGCTGGGGCCGACCCTCATTCATTTCTGAGACCTGGTGTGCACACTCACAGCCGAGCTGTCGTGACGCAGCAGCCGCTGGTTTCCAGTCTGCTGTTTCCTTTGTTTTTCTAGAAGGGCTGTTTGCAGCCCTCGCCATTGACTTCCTGTCTCCAGGGGGCGGGATGGGGGTGTTGAACAGCGCTGGGCTGGAAACGGGACGCAGGCAGGAGCCCAGCGCAGGCTGCTGTTACCGTCCCGTGGGAGAGCGACCAGGGCACATTCTTCTCAAAGACGCGGGGCAGCTCCTGAAGCCACGAGAGGGGCCTGTTCTTGGGAGTCGTGTTGGGGACCCAGAGGCTGCAGTTTCATAATGCAGACGCCGCGTGGGGACTGAAAGTCATTTTATTAAATGTCGCACAGAATCAAAATAGAAACTCCGTCTTTGGGACAAAGCCCATTAAGCCTGGAGCTGGGCACTGTGCACTGGGCAGAGTATGTGGGGGAAGAGGGGCCGAAGCCTCCGCCTCTGCCTCCCAGCTGAAGCCCCAGATGTGGCAAGTGGTCCTGGAGCCCAGTCCGCTTGCAGGAATCAGAGGCCACCAAAGAGGGAATGGGGATGATAGCCCCCCTTTGTCACACTGCTCGGTACATGTGCTGAGCTGCATGGTTATACGTTACCACAGATCCCCACCCACCTTCTGGGAAGGACACTCCTTTTCTTTTTAATTCTTTTTCTTTATTGATTTTAGAGAGAGGAAAAGGGAGAGGGAGAGAGAGATAGAAACATTGATGAGAGAACATCGATTGGTTGCCTCCTGCACGCCCCCCTCTGAGGATTTGGCCCACAACCTGGGCGTGTGCCCTGACCGGGAATCAAACCGGCGACCTCTTGGAGCACAGGTCAACGCTCAACCACTGAGGCACTGGTCGGGCTGGGAAGGACACTTCTTGTGTTTGAGGACACTGAGGCTCAGGGAGGTCACACAGCTGGCCAGGGGCAGAGCTGAGGTTTGAACTGCCGACCTGCTCTCATGCCCACCTTCGTGATCTCCATCCTGGGTCACCTCTTCCCCATTGCTCCTGGTTTGGTTTTGTTTTTGTTAAAGTGTTTTTATTGATTTGTTAGAGAGAGAGGAAGCGAGACAGAGATAGAAACATGGATTGGAGACATAACGATTGGCTGCCTCCTGCACGCCCTCTACTGGGGATCGAGCCTTCAACCCAGGCATGTGCCCTGACCGGAAATCGAACCCAGACCTCTGTCATGGGGTGACCCTCAATCCACTGAGCCACACTGGCCAAGCTGCTCCTGTTTTTTTTTTGTTTTTGTTTTTAATTCTCACCCGAGGTTATTTTTCCATTTTTGTTCAGATACAGTGGGAGGGAGAGAGAGAGAGAGAGAGAGAGAAACATCGACGTGAGAGGGACACATTGAGTGGTTGCCTCCCACAGGACCCCAATCAGGGCCGGGGATGAATCGCAACTGAGGTATGTGCCCTTGACGGGAATCGAACCTGTGACTCATTGGTCCTCGGGCCGATGCTCTAACCGCTGAAACAA